CTTCCTTAGTGGAGCACTTTGCATTTGTCTTTGTTAAATTTCATCCTGTTTAACTCAGACCATTTCTCCAATTTGTCTAGATCATTTTGAATTATGACCCTGTCCTCCAAAGCAGTTGCATGTTTTGAAATATCTCAGTTTTGGTCTGCTCTCTCACAAACAAATTCCAAACTGTGACATATTTCATGAAATGGAATTGTTGTTTTTCTGACCACCCCTAGAATTAATATAGCAACTAAAATGGTCCGAAATGTTTCAGCTGTGCCTCACCCCTTTTCAGCACTCCAGCTATTGGGGGTGCATTATAATAATGCTTAGCATAAATAGAGCACTTCTCATCTGTGCAACTCAAAGGGGCTCATAAAGGTGGACAAGCATCATTGTCCCCAGTTTACAGATGGGAAAAAAGAGTTACAGAGAAGTTAAGAGATGTGCCTAAGGTCATATACTCTATCAATGACAGAGCCGGAATAGAATCCAGGACTCAAATCCCAGTCCTGTGTCTTATCTACTGGACCTCACTACTTCCCATCTACACTGAGTTAGGATGAGTTTGGATCATACACCTGGTGTTAGTATGGGACCATTTTCTACGTAAGAAAAGCAAGGATTAAATAGTGGTAGTGAGTGACCCAGAAAACCAAATGCTACCATAGCTAGTGCAGCAGTAGAGAGATCTTTTCACACTTCTAAATGCATGGTATACAATTTGTCCTATTAAGCTGTGTGTGTGTGGGCGTTTAAGTTTAAGCTTGATAATTAATCAATAATGCTGTTAGGGCCATTTACTACACTGCTTACTCATGGTTCACATAGCAAAGGGGAATAGAAGCCTACTGCTGAAATTTCTCCTTTCCCGTCAGGCATGACTCATTTGCTCCACTGTCATATAGCTATGGAGTAGACTAACTAAGAAATCCTTGAAAAGAACAGAATTCAAAGGGCCTCTCAAGATACAAGTTATGAAGAGCTCATAAGATAAAATAACTCTGCTATGGCCTTAAATCCCCTGCTCTGAGTGTGGAATCAAGTACCTGAGACATTCAGGTC